AGAGATCTCTTATTATCATTTGACTCATGATAAGGTAAGGAAGATTATTGTAGCATCTCAAAGGGACGGTTATGCTAGCCTTGGATATCATGTTTTTAATGTGGCTGAAGGACTGCAAAATAAAAGAAGAAAAATCTTCAGGGAGGCATTTGAATACAGGTGGAGTCAAGGGTGGTTGAAAAATCATACTTGTAGGCTTGTTAAATTACCTAGGCAGAAAAGAGTAATTGGGAACAAGTGAGTGCAAGTTGCGAGATCAAGATTCAAGGGTTGCTTGAATTTGATCAAAGTTATTGATTAAAGTTTCAACTTGGTAGAAAGCAACAATGTTGTTGATTGTTAAATTGATATCAACACAGTTTAAAGTCAAGATGGAGATTATTGTAAATGTGCCTTAAAACCTTTATTGATGAAAAGAAATAAAACATATTTTGGAGATTGCATTTACCGCAAAAATCAGATGAAAAGTCGAGGACAAAAAATTCGGGCGGTGAATAGTAACGTTCGTACAGTGAATAGTGTTTTTAAGTTTTCAGGTTTTTTTCCGATTCGGTCCATGGATCCATGTGATTTTGGACTTTGTTTGTTAGGTATATTCTATTATAAATATGTATCTCTTATATGTTTGGTGTGTGACAATCTTAGAGTTTTCACCAACAAGGGAGACCAAGAGTTTAAAGGTATAACATAGGGTTTCAGCTATACACAAAGAAAACTTTGGATTACACATTGGTTTGAGTGATTCATATATTGAGAGTTGGAGAGGTGAGTTGGAGAGGTTGGGAAACACTTGGGTAGAAAATAGGGTTGTTCTTGGGCGCATTCAGGGTTGTTCTTGGGAACCTGAAGGCGAAGGCTATTTTCTTGTAACTCATCTATAATCTCTTGTAACAACTTTCTAAGTATAGTGAATTGGAGAGCTGCTATCTCCCCTAGAGTAGATCGTTTGATCGAACTGGGTAAACAAACATTCAGTTTTTTCTTGCCTTATTCTGTTATATTATCTGCGTACAGATTATTATTGCTGAAGACCATTTATTTTGGTGCTATTATTCTTTGCCTTACAAATTGATATTGAATTTTGTCGTAATTCACAACAAGATTCACAACAAGTGGTGCGGTGAGCGTGAAGAAAAGAGATATTGTTGACAAGTGAGCACCATGGTTAGTAGATGGCAGATCGAGAAATTTTCCGGTAACAACGACTTCGGTTTGTGGAAAATTAAGATGCAAGCAATTTTAATTCAAGAGAAGTATATTGATACTTTGAATAGTGAAGCATTGATGCCTGCAGGGCTTACACAGGTACAAAAGACCGAGATGATGGATAAGTCTATAAGTGCCATTATCTTGTGCCTCAGGGATAAAGTTCTACGAGAAGTCGCCAGGGAGCAAACAACGGTTGCTATGTGGGGAAAACTTGAATTATTGTATATGACAAAGTCTTTGGCTCATAGATTGTATCTGAAACAACAACTGTATTCATTCTGAATGGTGAAGAACAAATCCATAGTTGAGCAACTCATAGAATTTCACAAGATTATCGATGATCTTGAGAATATTGAAGTGAACATTGATGATGAGGACAAGGTTTGCTCCTATTGAGTTCATTACCCAAATCCTTTGAGCACTTTAAGGATACCCTTCTTTATGGTAAGGAAGGTACTATTACTTTGGATGAAGTCCAAAAGGCGGTGAAATCCAAAGAATTTTCAAAGTCGAAAGATTTGAAGATTGAAGATAGTGGTGAAAGCTTAAATGTGTCAAGAGGAGGAGGTGAGCGTAAAGGGATGTCCAAATCAAAGAGGTCTGACAAGTCAAAGGTAAAATGTTTTAATTGTCAAAAATCGGTCACTTTAAAAGGGATTGTCCTGAAAGAAAGGTCAATGAAGATTCTATTCAAGCTGTAGTTGCATTGGATGAGGAAATTATGAGGATGCCGAAGCACTAGTAGTATCGAGTTTAGAAACTGAAGATAGTTGGGTCATTGACTCAGATTGCTCTAATCACATGTGTCCAAGAATATAATACTTTGAAACTTTGAAGATGACGCAAGATGGAGTAGTTCGCCTTGGTAATAATAAGGCATGCAAGGTTCATGGTATTGGTACAGTCAGATTTAAAATGTTTAATGATCGTGATCTTCTTATTCATAATGTAAGGTATGTTCCAAAACTCAAGCGATTTTTTTAATCGATAAGTATGTTTAATGATTTAGGCTATTGTACTAGAGTTGAACGTGTAGTGTTAAAGATTTCACGTGATGAATTGATTATTGCTAAAGGGTCTAAAATATATGGTATATATATTTTAGAAGGTTCAAATGTTATTATTCATTCATCGTTAACTAGTAGAGGCTTTCATGACAAAGAAGAGCTATGGGATTTGAGTTTAAGGTGTTATGAGTGCCTTGAGAAAGTTTCAGAGGAGTACAATGAATTTTTTAGAAATCACGGGATAAAAGTGCATGTTACCACTGAGTTGTTATTGAGTTATTGGGGAAGAACTGAGGTTAAAACAACTTACTCGGTTGATAGAGAATTTCTTCAAAAGAATAATAGTGAAAACCAAGGGAGAAACCTGGGAAAAACTATAACGGAGAAAACTCAGTTTGAGGTGGAGTTTCCTATTATGGATGCTAGCAGTAGTGAGGGAACGATTACAGAGATCTCTGATTATCATTTGACTCATGATAAGGTAAGGAAAGTTATTGTAGCATCTCAAAAGGAAAATTATGCTAGCCTTGGATATTATGTTTTTAATGTGGCTGAAGGACTGCAAAATAAAAGAAGAAAAACCTTCAGGGAGGCATTTGAATACAGGTGGAGTCAAGGGTGGTTGAAAAATCATACTTGTAGGCTTGTTAAATTACCTAGGCAGAAAAGAATAATTGGGAACAAGTGAGTGCAAGTTGCGAGATCAAGATTCAAGGGTTGCTTGAATTTGATCAAAGTTATTGATTAAAGTTTCAACTTGGTAGAGAGCAACAATGTTGTTGATTGCTAAATTGATATCAACACGGTTTAAAGTCAAGGTGGAGATTGCATTTACCGCGAAAATCGGACGAAAAGTCGAGGAAAAAAATTTCGGGCGGTGAATAATATCGTTCGTACGGTGAATAGTGCTATTCGTACGAATGAATAGTGACGTGCGTACGGTGAATAGTGACGTCCGCACGGTGAATAATATTTTTGAGTTTTCAGGCTTTTTTTTTTTCTGATTTGGTCCATGGATCCATGTGACTTTGGGCTTTGTTTGTTGGGTATATGCTATTATAAATATGTATCTCTTATATGTTTGGTGTGTGACAATTTTAGAGTTTTCACCAACAAGGGAGACCAAGGGTTTAAAGGTATAACATAAGGTTTCAGGCACAAAACTTTGGATTACACATTGGGTTTGAGTGATTCATATATTGAGAGTTGGAGAGGTGATTTATATATTGAGAGATTCATATATTGAGAGTTGGAGAGGTGATTTATATATTGAGAGATTCATATATTGAGAGTTGGAGAGATGATTTATATATTGGGAGATTCATATATTGAGAGTTGGAGAGGTAGGGAAACACTTGGATATAAAATATGGTTGTTTTTGGGCGCCTTCAGGGTTGTTTTTAGGAACCTGAAGGCGAATGCTATTTTCTTGTAACTCATCTATAATCTCTTGTAACAACTCTCTCCAGAGTAGATCGTTTGATTGAACTGAGTAAACAAATCTTCAATTTTTTCTTGCCTTATTCTGTTATATTATTGTGTACGGATTATTATTGTTGAAGACCGTTTATTTTGGTTGCTATTATTCTTTGCCTCATAAATTGATATTGAATTTTGTCGTAATTCACAACAAAATTCACAACATAATCAATTTTACTGTTGTTTCTTAACCATTAAATTAGGTATTGTAGAGATACAAAACACAGATAGCAAGAGAAGATCCTATTGTGTATAATATACCTTATATGAGTTTACTTTTAGGGATAGAATGATAGTTGAACAAAAAATATCAAAAACTAGATATATTTAGAGGAAAAGTACAAGTGAGTATTTTTCGAAAATATATTTTAAAAAACTTTTAAAAATAAAAATAAATTTATTTATAAAATTGAGATGTAATTTAAAAACAAATAAATTTTATGTATTAAATGCTTTCAAAAATATATTTCTAAAAACTGAAAAATATTTTTAAATTTTTACATAATACTTAAAAAAAACATATAAAATAAATTAAAAAATCCTCAAAATATATATTTTTTTCAGGAAAAGATTTAATCATAGATATACGAGTTGGAATCCACTCCATTTCTTTGTCCCTCCATTTTCTCAATTACTATAGTTTTTATGTATATAAAATTAACTAAATATTAATTATATGTCACATGTCTTAAAAATTTGTGTTATTTACACACAAAACTATAATAATGGAAAAAATAGAGGGACAAAGTGGATTCAACCCTAGATATACCATCACATTATTATCTTTATTTTTCCAATAAATATATCATTACATAATTATAATTATCTTTTTTTACATAACTATACTCGTAATTAGTTATGCAAGTGGGGCTTAATCTATATTTTTCCATTTATGTATCGATTATAGCAAATATGATAAACACACCAATATCCCATTCACGATAACCTTGTGATTTTCATTTTCAGTTACTCTTATTCACTTCTGACTTTCTGAGTTTCACTCTCACATCACAAACATGGAGGGAGAAGCAACTCTCACCATTCATATTCATCGAAATCATTCATCTTCTATCTCCATCGATGATGCAGCTTCATCTTTCCTCCCAAAAGGTTTGAATTTGACAGCAATTTTTCATCAATAGCTCCTTCAATTTTTGATTTATATCTCTCTTAATCCCTTATCAACATCTTTCTAGGGATAGGGTTTTCATCTTCAATAACTTCCTTTTTTTTTTGCTCTCTTCCAATTTATACCAAAATTCAAACAAAAAGTTTTTAGGGTTTACTTTGCTTAGTCAATTAACAATGCAATTCAGACGGCGTGATGAAGATCATGCTGCACGGTCTCTTTCTCCGAAGTTGCGTTCCCACCACCGGCTTGATTCAGCTCCAGACTTGGTTCGGAGAAACCGTGTTGATGGGTTGGATCGGTTGCCAGTTCAGCAGAGGAAGTTGAATCCTCTGAGAGGGGATATTGATGGCAACAAAAGGGGTGGTGATGGATTTGAAGGTAGGGATTCGGACTGGCATTTGAGTGATCGGAGAAGTGGTAGGGTTCAATCGAGGTCCCCTCCGGTTGATCAAATGAGGAAAAGGTCACATTTTGATGATGGGGTTGACCATAGAAGTTCTTCACCATCATCTTTAGGGTTGAGACCTAAATATGAGTATTCAAAATCTATGGATTACAGTGGTGTTGATGATGAAAATTTGGATGTGAAGCGTGTTTATGTCAATAGAGAGAAGAGCTTCATTGAAAGCAGGTTAGGTGGTGGAAAGAGTACTGTGGATCAGAGGTTTTCGAGAAATGGAAATGAAGTAGGAGGTTCATATAGGTCTATTCCGGATATCGGTGTAAGTGTACAATCACAATATGAGGAAGACGGTGGGAAATTTCATCCGCTGTCAAGGAGAGTGCCAACTGAGAGATTTGCGTATGAAAGGCTACAACACCGAGAGCATTTACCTGTGGATAAGATACCGATCACAGAACCTCACCGTGGGGCTGATAAAAGTAAAACAATGTTTCATACAAGGGATGCTTCCTATTCGAAAGAATCTCCCTCTTATGCAAAGGATTTTGCAGGCACTTCTCACTTGAGGGACTATGGGAATTCCTCCGTGGAAATGAGGAGTGATTTTCTATGCTCGCACGGCGACTGTGTCTGCTCACGCTCATCTTATGATCAGCCTAGGGGTAGCGGAAAACTTGCTGAAGGTGTAGGGTTTAGTGGACGTGGCCAAAGGCCACATGTAGACACTAGTAGAGGTCCTGAAATTCGTGAGAGGAATATTACGTGCCATCAGTGTGAGCTTAGTCCCAGTCATACCAGGATTGAGCATTCAGATTATTTTAATTCCAGATTACATTCAAGAGCAGCACATGACGAATATTTATATCAGTATGATGATATACCTAGAAGGGTAGATCCTCATGGTCGATTGGACTATGAGCAAGCTGTAATAGAATATGATAACAGGGAGTTGTCCAGACATTATATTTCACACCCAGATATAGATAGAACTGGTAAGAGTGAAGATTATTATGGAAATCCAAGAAGGGGTGTTATGCATGAGCATGACCACTCTACATCAGAGAATCCAAAATATGTAGACTATCATGATATGAGAAGAACATCAGTTGCATCAAAGCAGGGAAATGCCTATTTGCGTTCTGGATATAATCATACTGAAATTGGGAAAAGAATGCCAAATGATTATGAGGTTTCATATCAGGATGCACCAGAAGCTGATCATCAAATATCAAATTTAAGAACAGAATATAAATTTGGAAGAGATGGTGCTCGAGGGCTTCAACAAGAAAGGTATCAGAGTTCACCTCTGTCTAAGCATGATTCAGAAACCTACAGACAAGCTGCCAGAGTGCAGGAAATGAATCAGGATGTTGGCATTCATAACCGTTCAGATAGACATATGAAAAGAAAATACTATGCCAATGAGGAAATAGATGTGCATGATTTGAGAACAATAAAATCAAGTAAATGGGATGACACACCTGATGAATATGAAGATTATTATGTAAATGAAGAGTGGGTCGATGATGAAGATATGAATATGTTGTACTCATATGATAATGTTGGATCCAAGCATAAGATATACAGAAAGCATAATAATAAATACAATGAGTTGGAGAGTGAAGAAGGTTTTCCTTCTAACAATAGGATATCACCTGAAGGTTCTATGGAACGTGTTCAAAGACCACCATTTCTATTTCAGAAGTATTCCAATCAAAATATGAGACATTCAAAGTCGAGTTCATCAAACTGGTATAAATCTCAGCATTTTTCTAGAAGAAATGCAAATCAGAAACAGCCTAAAGGTTGGAAAAAGTATCATGGATACAATGAGAACAAGCATACAACTAATGACGAGTCATATGAAGATTTGGTTAGTGCTGCAGAACCTCAGCCAACTGAGGACTCTGAGGAATTTTTACAAATGGTACATGAGAATTTCTTAATGTACTCCAAGAAGTTGAATTTGAACTTATCTGTCCAAAGAAGGTATCAGAAACAAGGAAAAGCTGGTGCTTTGTACTGCATTGTATGTGGTAGAAGGTTTGTTTTCTTTTCTATAATGCTCTTTTATCAAATGGAGCACTTCTCTAAACATGTTGAATCAGGAGGTCCCTAGTATTTAACTTACAGGTAGAGTCAAGTACATGTAATATTATTTGTGGGATCATGCTTTAGGGAAATTATTATTGGGATCACGCCTTAGAGAAATTATTATTGGGATCACACTTTAGGGAAATTATTATTGGGATCATGCTTTAGGTCCATTATTCTTGGGATCACACTTTAGGTTATCAGCATAATTGCTGTACTTCATTAAAGGGAATGCATGGACAGTTTTTGATGACACCAATCCCATGCAAATAAGATCAAACATATTGTAAACTGTTCTGTGGATGAACAAGAGTCACAAATTTTGCAAAAGTGGTGTACATTCTGTTGGTGCAAATCAAATATAATTTTGCTACTGTGTTGCATAGATTTGAAGTTAGGTTTAATGTTTGCTAGAACTTGCATTTAACTATAGTTTTGTGCTAATGTTCATAAGTAATTATTACAACCAGAATAACTTGGGACCCGGAAAGTTTAAATGGTCTACGGTCTTCATAATAAGGATTGCTGTGACATGCCATGGCATAGTAAGGATAAGAGAATACTTGTAGGCTACAATTTCCTAGATATTTAAGATTGCTGGTCATATAGATTGAATTTCCTATTAGAAGTACGGCCGTAAGTAATTTTAGGTTTTAGATTTTTAGAGGAACTGGATATATAGATATGCTGCATATGCATAACAATTAGGATTAATCTGATTCTGTAATTGTTGATATTTAGGTTTTGAATTATTTCTCTAGCAAGCGTTATTCTATTAAGTTCTACAGAATCAATTAGAGTTGCTTCATTATAATTTCTTTCATTACCCTTTTGAGGGAATATATGGTTGGCAGAACCGAAGTCCCTAATCATAACTACTCCAAGGAAGCTTTGTCAAACCAGAATGCTAATTGTATAAGCTGCTATAATGTTCATTGGTGCATTATAAAACAATTATTTTGAGGCTTTTCAGATAGTGTCGGAGATTATAATATTCTAATTCTAAATACGAACTTTAGTTTTTTCTCTGCTGGCTTCAGTTATTATCATGACACCAGCAAGTTTTATTTCATAGCGCATTCAAATTTTGTTCTTCGGTTTCTTACTTGAACTTTGTCAGGTACATTATAATGAAATAGTGATTTCCTATCTTTCTAATTTTATTCTGTCCATTTTTATGCTTGAGAGAAGTTTAAAATGTACAACATTCAGTAAGCTTCATGTCTTAAGATTAAGTGTAACATTTTTAGACTCCTAACATGTTTTTCTGTCCTGTTTTATTGTCTTTATGGTACAGTTCCTCAAAGGAATTCATGGACACCCGAAGCTTAGTAACTCATGCTTTTATGTCCCATAAGCCTGGCCTGAGAGCTAAACACCTGGGTCTTCACCAAGCAATATGTGTTATGATGGGATGGGATACCGCTGTTCCTCAAGATACAGTAACTTGGGTTCCCCAGGTCTTGTCCCATCCTGAAACTTTGGCTCAAAAGGAGGATTTGATTCTTTGGCCACCAGTTGTTATCATACATAATATTTCGATGTCAGATGACAATCCTCAAAACTGGAAAGTTATAAGTATGGAAACAATTGAGGCATTTATAAGAGGTGAGTTTTTGTTTGAATGTTGATATACTATGCAATAATATGATTTTTTGTGAACCAAGTATATCTTAGTTTTCTCGATGATTTTATACATAAATAAGCACAGTAGATGTAATATTTTATACCAACTACACACATCTTTTATTCTTCCTTGGAATCTTTACTCGCCAATTGTTGCCTTATGATAAATGCATATTTGGCAATTTTTTATTTCTTTTCATGCTTGCAGGCAAAGGTTTTGTGAGGGGACGGATCAAACTATGCTTGGGGAAGCCCGCAGATCAAAGTACTATTCTGGTGAAGTTTTTGGGCACATTTGTTGGGCTGGGAGATGCAGAAAGGATTCATAAATATCTTTCTGATAACAACCGGGGGAGAGCCGAATATGAGAAGGTAAAATCCGAAGGTGTCAAAAGCAGTAACATCAAAGAGACGGATCAGGGAGACAAAGTGGAGAGTTTGCTTTATGGTTATGCGGCGATTGCGGAGGACTTGGAGAAACTAGATTTCAATAGCAAGAGTTGGAGTTCGGTAAAGAGCAGGAAGGAGATTGACGACCTGGATAAGGCTCCTGTTAAAACCGACGACAGGCAATGATTATAACATAATCTAAGGGTGTATCAGGCATTTCACGGTTCCAAGTGCTAAAATTTGTGTGTTCTAATTGCATAATTTGTCTTTCCCTATGGTTAAGTTAGTAGTTACTCTATTTTGGACAAGATATGCAATTTCAGACTAGAGTTCTCTGTAAGAGTTCATTTCTTGTTTGTGAATTCTGATAACTGATTTGACTGAAAGCTGATGCAGAATCCTGTGCTTTAGCCATATAGGATTTTAGATGATGTTCAAGATAAATGTATCCAATGTTCTTAAAATGTTATTTCATTTAAATACAAAAGGCTTAGGAGAATTAGACTAGTCACAAGGCTCTATCATGAGTACATTTGTGGGATATTACCCATTTGGTCCCTCCATTGTGAGCCTATGTATATAAGGAACTATTACTTTTTAAGGCGGGGTCAATTTAATTTTGGTGAAGTTATTAATGGAGTATATTTAGCAAAGTAATTGGAGGTGTTGAGTGTTCTTTAAATGTTTAAATTAAAGAAAAAAAAGATTGTGTATGCATGCACAAGAATTTTTCTTTTTTTGAGATCTTACTATCAAAGTTAAGTTTTTAAGAATTACAAAAATATTAGTTATTGCTATCAAACTTTTTCTTGAAAGCAATACAGTTTCATTTGAAGAAAAACAGCAGAAAACATAAAAATAAGAAACAGGATACATACATGCTCATTTACATATGATGCAATTGCATCACTCAAAATCGTCAACAAGTTCTGAACACAATTGACTGATATTTCTGTTATATTCTTTGGATGTGACATAAATTTTGTTAAATGACACTCTTGTATCCACTGATATTATGCATATTATGTAGCAGCTTCGAAGGGCAGATCACCAATCTTTTATCTTCAGAAGTTGCAAACTTGTTTGAATGATGGTTTATCTTCTCACAGAAATACTGCAATTTCTATTAAATATTTTCAATTATAACATGCAAACGAATCATTATCATCACAAATGGGATAGTTAGGAGAACATATCAGTGCCAAGCTGAAAACAACGTGACCATTATACAGTTAAACAGTAACATTTAAGTGAAAAACTCCAGAGGCATTGATTGCCATATGTTTATTCTAGCTATGTATGTTACAGAAACATTAAAGTTAAAATATTTCCATTTCGTTTGTTCTTCATTTGTATTGATTCTTTCTGTTTTTATTTTTCTATTATTTACTACCTCTTCTGGAAATTAAGGACCTTGATGGCATAAGCAAATACAAATAGAAACACAAGAACAAAAGCAATATGAGCCACAGCAACAACTCCAAGGAAGTCATATTCAAAGCCCATCTCTTCATTGATGTATGCTTTTACTGATATCGTTCCAGCTCCAGGTACCTCGATTAGAGTCTCTATGTCACCTAACTGTGATGCCACTAGACCATATACGGTCCAAGCAGTTGGACACGCCCAATAATACCATCTCCACCATATTGGAATTTGCTGCAAAAGTGAAATCAGCAGTTACATAATCAATGTGTGAAGTGAACTAAACCAACTCCGTTGTGAAGATTCAAATATGTTTGTGAACTATATTTCTTAAATCATGCATAGTAATGTGAAATTTGTTTTGTCACTCGTTGAGTATAATATATTTGATCATTTCATTGCGATGCATACCGATTTGGGGATAATGAAACCCGAGAATATGTTCCAGAACACTAGAAAGAATGACATGACAATTGCAGCAATTTGATGATTTGGTGTGAGAGACACAGTCATCATTCCATAAAGTGTGAAATAGACAAATGACATGAAGATGAAGTAGTAGAACCAGATGAACTTGTCAGCTTGCCAAGGGAATCCCATCATTGAGTAAAGGATAAGGGTATAAACAAATGTTTGGATTGCAACATATATACATTCTATTGCCACCTGCAAGTAAATGCTTGTATATTTCATAAGTTTACTCAGTTATTGGAATTCACTTAACTCTAGATTTTTTGTTTTTTGTGTGAAAGGATCAGCTTCATTTACCTGTGCAAATGCATAAGGGAGAGCTGAGTACATTCCGGCCGCTTTTTCACGGTAGAAGACTGTTCTTTCTACTGCTACTACAGGTTGAACGCCGGCAGTGTTGGTGGCTCCAAGAAATAAAATAGCGGAATACATGGCTCCCTCTAAATTCATAAGCTCTTGTTCTTTGTGTCTGCAACCAAATTCTATTTAGTCATCACCTATGGTACTCTTGATCTTACTTGATTCATGTTTTTTCATATCAGTTAAAATTTAACAACTAGTTGTATTTTAAGTACAATACCAACTTCGAGACCAAGTGGACTTACATTTTTTCTGCATTTTTCCAAAAAACGAGTCCAAAAATAACACCTACAGATATCGACAGGAAGAACCGGATGGCATTATATTGAGGATTCCTCCAGTAGGACCAATGCTGTTTCCAGAAGCAAGCTTTGCATTGAGTAATAAAAGACTGGGAGTGTTTAGAAGAAAAATTAAGATCTTTTGTTCCTGGTAATGGCGTGCTTAGCTCGTTAATAAGTTCTTGATTCCTCCTGAAAAAGAGCTTATATCAGAAAATGAATAGAGAAGACCGTCTAGTTTCAGATTGATAAAAAGAGCATTGGCGGTTCTTAACCACAAAAAAGGGAACAATGCAACTTCAACTAATACTTAACTGATACAATTCTGACTTAATAAACAAATCTGCAAAGTCTACGCCTAGCTGAGACTCAACTGTTGGAGAACTAATCTCCAACATCCATGTCGCAGGATTATATCCATCTTTAATTCTCGGAATTCCTGGAATAGCCTGCAAAAGGTTCGCATAGTTTATAAGATTATATAATTTATGAATTTTTCATATTTTGCAGTGTCCAAGTCACACTTACCTCAAAGTACTTAACAAGCTTCTGAGATTGTTGACCAAGGGGACCACTGTATATTATTTGTCCTCCTCTCTTCATCAAAAGCAGCTGAATGAAAGAAGAAATTGAGAGAGGTTGTTTTTTCATAACTCTCGCAGAAGTAAAAATTCATCTCCCAGATTTTGAGAAAACTATACCTCATCAAAAGATTCAAATATATCGATGCTTGGTTGGTGAATCGTGCAGACCACAGTTCTCCCTGTATCTGCTGTATTTCTGACAGTACGCATAACAATCGCTGCAGCTCTAGCATCAAGGCCTGATGTTGGCTCATCCATAAAGATGATAGAAGGATTGGCAACCAATTCTACAGCAATAGTGAGTCTCTTTCTTTGTTCTGTTGATAAACCATCTATTCCAGGAAGTCCTATTAAAAAATTCCTTAATGGATGCAACTCCACGAGTTTCATAACTTCCTCAACAAACATCTGTAGCAAGAGAGGATGGTTAAGAATAGATCGGTTTTTAAAGTTAAATCGCCGGGGATGATTTAGCTACATATTTGGAGTTCAACGTAAGAGCTGATTAAAATAAAGCACACCTTCTGTGTTTCTTTGTTGACCTCCTTACCGAGACGTAGCCAAGCAGAAAAAGCAATAGATTCGTAGACTGTAAGATTTGGAGAGTGGATGTCGTTTTGTTCACAGTATCCACTGATTCGAGCAAAAGTTGCTTGATTCTTTGGATAACCGGATACACTAATGCTTCCTTCAATATAACCACCGGTTTTTCTTCCAGCAAGAACATCCATCAGTGTGGTTTTTCCAGCACCAGTTACACCTACTAATGCTGTTAGTACTCCAGGCCTGAAAGCGCCACTTACATCTCTTAGTAATTGGAGCCGACTTTCTTCAAATCCTTGGTTTTTCATTTCCTGATATGAAAGCACTAGTAAGACATCGTAAAGGCAATGCTGAAGTGCGTAGTAAATAGAAATGATTAAAATGTAGGTGGAGAGTGTGCAAAACTTACGGCCGGCATATTGATGTAGTAATTTACGCGATCAAAAGCAAGTGATAGTGGCCTAAAGGGTAATATCATTCCTCGCTTGGCTGTTGAAGTGTCTGCTTTGCGAATTAGACTCTCTGAGGTGTTTCTTTCTGTCATTTCAATGTCTGCATATAGTCATTTTGATTATAAAACTGCAGACATTGTTTTTCTCTTGTACAACATTTTTTCAAATCAAACCGAAATTTAGTTCCTAAGAACATAAACATTTGACAAAAAGAAAAGGGTATAGTTGAGTAATTACATTCAGATGATTTAGCTTTTGAAACATAACTCTCTTTTGTTGTTTCCTTTTTCTCATTTTCTTCTTCCAGAACAATGGATTTAGAATCTCCAAATGCTGCAATTCAACTTTTAAGACCTTGTTAAAGACAGTCTTATAGCAGAAACAGAAACAGAAACCCGAACAAGCAGTATGGAGACTTACGATTCAAAAATGTCAGCGCGACAATAAGAAGAACGTTGAAAAGCAATGAAAAGCCTAAGAGAGCACCAATACAAATCCAGTACCAATATTCTTCTGTAAACATGTTTCTAGCCTTAAGAAGAGCCTTCCCAACTGTAGGTTCAGGTACTCTTGGGTCCAAATTGGGCTGTAACAGATCATTAAAAGGTTTCGAATTTAATCAATATCGACTTTAAAAGTCGTACAAAACTAGTTTCATGAGTAAGATAAATGAATACAGTTTAGCAGGAAAACAAAATCAGAGAGTTTTATTTCGCCAGATGATCAAGATCTTACAGAACTCCATCTCTCGTCGAGGAACTCATTGATGGCAATAGCATTCTGACCATACATCATAGGAGAAGCATAATAGCCCCATAGCATCCATGGTTCAATGTCATCTGTAAACGACATTATTAAAGTTGCACGATTCATTCTTCTAATACCTTGTTTTCTGCATGCATTTAACTTTTACGAGCGAAGTTTATAAGGTGCAAAAGAATAAATAGTGCTCACCTCGGGCGATAATGAAACCACCAAGTAAGAAAACAAGTAGCAGCATAAAGGTACCAAGTGTGTTTGCCACAACTTGTGTTCTTCCAATAACAGCAATGAATCGAAACAGAGCTAAA